TTTTTAATCCCCCACCCTCCCACCCCCCCTCCAAAATTATTTCCCCGTAGTGCAGTGCACAGGTAAGTGAAGTGTGCTGAATACATTGCTAATGAATAGCAGGAATATTTACATACAAAAATATATAGGTTTGAACACTTCAAACTCTGCCCTTCGGTGCAGGAGAGAAGGGAGAAGAGCCAGTCCCTTCGAGATGTATCTTCTGCCAGCTTTCTGTCCGGGGGCCGAGCAAACGGCCCCAACCCTCTCCTTTGTGAGTACTGCCAAGGACTGACTCGACCTGGGTTTCTCCAAGCTTTCCATTGCTCAGCTCTGCTTTTCCCCTCGTTCAGGGCAGCCACGGGAGTGGATCCCCGTCGTGTTGACGTGGTGGCAGAGCCCAAAGGAAATCACCCCATCGTCTGCTGGCGAATGCACGGTTTATGGCAAGCAGGGGGAGTGGAAGGGCCGTGCTCGGGCATCCCTCTTCATCTGCAGCTCCTCTGGCTTGCAGAGGGCTTGGGACCGCCACCATCCTCATGTGTTGGGAGATGCACTCGCCCAAGTGACCTTCTGGTCCTCTCCTCTCTTTCTCATGTGCTGGAGGATGGAGCCCCGCTCTGATCCCTGCTTCTGCCGGGGCTGAGCTGCTTCACTGATGCCAGAGCAAAGGTGCCCGGTGTGAAACTCTCCCCCTCCTTTTAGAGCCATTTACGAGCTGTGATGGGGAGTGGAAAATCAGAAATGGCCTCAGACCAGCCACTTTCTACTCCCGCATATTTTTCTTTTCCCCTCTAAAGACTTACGGCAAAGGGAGACCTGAACAAGAGACCAAGGGCTGCAGGACAAAGCTCAGTCCCAGCTTCGCTGCTGCGCTGGAAGTCTCTTTGCAGGTCTCTGTTATTTTACTGGCTTTTGAAGAAGAGCTTGAGAGTGTGAACTGAGCTTATAAACCTTGTGGGGAGGAAACACCAAGGGCTGTACCGATGGAAAACCCTGAATACCACCAAGCTACCTGGCTCGTGCTTCTGTTGCTCTTTTATCTCTCCTGCTCATGCAGGAAAACACGACCGCAAAAATCACAAACCATCACGGTGCACGTAACCCACGGTCTGGGGCGAGGATGGATGTGGGCCGTGAGGTGCTGCTGCGTAATTACCGGCAGGCAATCAGCACTTCTGTGGGGAAATGCAGTGGCAGAGCTCGTCTGCGCTGGAGCTGGGCCCCTGCACCACGAAACCCCCAACCTTGTGCCTGGGCTAGCGACCAGGCATCGCTCTTGGTCTCATTACACCCTTCCTAGGAGGGATGAACTCCAGGAATTACTCCTTTCCCTCTCCCTCCCCTTTGCATCAATACAAGAAGCTGCTCTGCCTCTCCTGGCCTCCAACCAGGTGCAGGATCCGTCCCGCAGCCCTTTGCGGCGCAGCTGGCGGTGGCGCGGGACTGAGCATCGCTCGGCACTGCTGCGTCCCTCCCATCCGGCCGGGTCTGGATCCGTTCCTTTGCCTGTGGCACAACGTGGGGCTCTTGTGCGTTTTAGCCGGCAGTTTATGGGGAGAGGATGGAAACTGGATTAAAAAGGAACAGGCTGTTCCAGCTTTTTCTGCTCAATACCTGGGTGTTTCGTGCTGGGGAGGGCAGAGCGATGACTAAACCGCGTGGGCCAGAGGATTTTTCTAGCCCTAATTGCCAGGTGCCGGTTTGCTGTCGGGCGTTGTGCTCCCTCTCCCATCCTATTTACATTTATTTCTCTTTATTTTTCGAGTTGCTCGATAGCTGGAGGCTGTGGTTGGACGCGGGACAGGAGGGGGACACACTGGGAGGAGACACCAGCAGCTCTTCGGGAGTAAAGCCACCCCGTTCGTCCACGGCTGGTCAGGTCTGGCGTGGTAGGTCCTGCTGAGCACCCGTGGGTGATGGAGGGTGCTTGTCCGGATGCGGCCACCATGGTGGCTTGTGTTGACAACGCGGCCCGGAGGTGTCCTCTCGTGTCCCTTCTTCTTCCATCCTGCACCCCATGTGGTGGCACAAGGGGCCGTGATTAGTTCATTAAGGGATTTTCTGGGATTTGTTGGGGATTTTGCCTTGTTTTGGAGTTGTGTGCATGTGCGTGTAGGGATTATGGGTGGGGTTTTTTTGGGCGTGGTCGTTTTTTGCTTGATCCGAGTTCTGTATCCTATAAATGAGTGTCCTCCTCTTCCTCCAGGTCCTCCTTCATGAGGGTGTCGAGAGGAACAATCCAGCTATCCCCCAGCTCGCCGTTGAGGTTCACCTTCTTCTCCTGCATTTCGGAGGAGGTCTCCATCACCTCCAGCGTGGGGTTATCGTGGTAGCCGTTCTCCATCGTCTGCAGCTCCTCAGTCAGGCGCTGCTGCGAGGAAAGAAAACCCAGAAACCCTGGTGAAAAACAGCTTGGCGATGCTGTGCATGCCACCTCGGGGCCATCACCTCACAGCCAGCCGTGGCCGCTGCCCCATATAGAGGTATATAACAACATATAGAGACTTTCATGGTGAGGTTGAGGCTGGGGGCTGCAGTCAGCGCTGGCGCAGCGAAGGGGATAGCGTGGAGCTGGCAAGAAGGAGACTCTGCTAACGGTGGGAGGGAGGAAAGAGCAGCCAGAGACATGTGGAAAACCTCCAGGAGCAGCTGCCAGCTTCAGCCTGGCCGGGGACCCACAGCTCCATCCCCCGGGACCTCAGGAAGAGGCCGAGCATCTTTGCCGTACCCTGATCCTGCCTCCCATCTCCTGCCTCCCCAACTTGACTCCATTCTTCCTCTCCCCTTTCTGCCCCCCCTGTCCCTTTTTAGCTGCTTTATTGTTATTCTCCCCCTTGACCCGGGGGGGCAGCTCCCACCTTGCAGATGCTGCCGGCCCATTTGCCCCTCATCCTGGAGCCCTATTCTGGAGCTTTCAGTGGAAATCAGGCAGGGAAAGAACAGTCTCTCCAGCCCCTTTTCCTTTGGCCGTGCATGGTTTTGGCTGATTCATGGATGAATCAGGCACTGCATCACCCTGGTGCTTGGGTACATGGTACTCCAGGCTCCAACCCAGCCCTTCATCCCCTGGCAGACCCCCAACCCATCCCAATTTTGCATTTGCCACGGCAGTTCCTTCATCCCCATCCCACCCTGGAGGGATTCACCGGTGAACTTCAGTCCTTGGTCAGCCCTTTTTCGGGGAGCGCAGGGCTCTCAGTAGGCACCCCCGTTAAAATCCATCTGGATTTACAGCTTGATTTATTACAGTGCTCCTAATAAATGTCAGGAGACAGGTGTGGGAGGGAATCCATGGAGAAGGAAAGGGACGGAGAAGTGAAACCGCAGGGCTTGGCGCTAGCAGGGGGGCTGCGAAGGCACTGCTGGGGGGGTCCCCTGGATTGCACGTGGCGGGGGGGGGATGCGGGCAGGGATGGCGGGATGCTCAAAAGCGGAAGAGACACCTGGGCTCTTTCAGGGGCTGTTTCCCCCCGTGGGGTTGCTGGTAGAACCCCCAGATGGATGCCCGGGCAGCACCTCCTCCCCCCCGCG